AAAAATATGTATACCAAAATGAATTTTTTACAGTGTTATTTTGAATAAAAATATTCAATCATTGGACCAGTGTAATTCTTAATTAGTAATTAGGGTTATGTTGTGAGGGTTAATTCCAGCAGACCTAGAATTAACCTGACCTGTTTTGCTGAAGTTCCTGCTTGGCACTGACTGCTGGTCGAGGCACGAAATATACTGGTTAAAATAATGCAGCTTCATAATCACGGGGCCAAGGAGTTTTGTGGCAGTTTCTACCAGCTTGTCAGCATTGTTTACTGATAACGGTGAGAAAGATGATTTGCACCTGGTCTCAGTGAGACCTCATCAAATCTCTGCTCTTGAGGCAGGTTACGTAGCAGGAATACACTTATGTGAACAGCAGAATATAAAAAATAAAATCTCAGCTGAGACTCCATTTGGGGCTCCCTGGTTGTGAGGTATTCAATGTACACATTAGTGGTTCCTGATCTCAGAGGAGGTGCATCAGCTATGGCTCGTACAGAGGGTCGGCCATTGCAGCCCTTGCCTGGCTTCTCTGGACACCTTGTTGTGAGACACCTATGCACTGGGATGCATATGCTTCCTCTGACGCTGTTGCTGTATTACACCCTAGTCCTGAAATAAGCTGTGCATAAATAAGCACTGTAATTTTGGGTTCTGTTAGTCTTCTTTAGCAGTGGAACCCTGTTTAAGTGCTGCTATTAGGGCAAGGGCAATATCAACCTTACGAAATATTATGTTTTACGAAAATAGCAAATTTGAAGACTATACCAACAAAGTACAATGCTTATGAGATGATATTAAAAGAAAGAGAATACAGAGTTTTATCTAAGCTATGATAGTAAAATCATAAAATTATGTTTATTGACAAGAGACTAGGAGTGAACACATGGGAGGGAGTCTGGGCAAGTTTCCTTTCATTCAAAAATTTGCAATGTGGTTTCATTATTGGTGAAATGAAAAAAAATTAACTGCCTAAAGACCAAATTTCATTTTACCTTTGGACAATGTATATTTACCTGAGATATATATGTGTGTGTGTGTGTGTGT